ACACGATCTCAGTGTTGAATTCCACACGGACAGTCAGCGCCCACTGGGTCAGCAGAGAAAGTCTGTGAGCATCAGCGGCAAATCAGGTGTGATGAGGACTAGCCTGGTGGGCGTTGAGGGTCCTAGACAAGTGACCAGCATCTTCTCATATTTGTTCCCTGTGAGTCCAGAGCAGAGGCCAGCAACCTTTTTCTGTCAGCGGGCAGAAGTAAGTTATTTTTTAGAACCTGCACCCTGGGTATGTGCCCTGGCCGGGAATCAAACCGGCGACCTCTCACTGCTGGGACGACGCTCAACAACTGAGCCACACTGGCCAGGGCAGACGTTGTTGTCTTTGCCGGTTCCTGGTCACTGTTCCAGCTACGCAACTGTGCCATTTTGTGGATATGTCTGTGTTCCAATAAAACTATATATGGACACTGAAGTTTGGATTTCATGTAACTTTCACATCGTGAAACATGTCTTCTTTTGATTTTTTTTCAGCCATATAAAAATGTAAAAACTACCCTTAGTCATGCGTTGCACAGAGCCAAGAGGCAGTCCAGATTTTGGCCCCTAGACCATAGTTTGCTGACCCCTTTTCTAAAGGTCTTACAAATAACTTCTATAAAGTTCTGAATCTGAGGACATTTTCTTTAACAAGCAGCCTATAGCACTGAATGTGTGTCATGCACTGTTAAATGTCTTATAGATGTTAGCTAATTTCATCCTCAGAATAACCCCCGAGAGAAGGGACCTCATTTTGCAAATGTGTATATTGAGGCACAGAGAGGTTAAATAACTAGCCCAGGTCAGGTCGCAGATGGCAGAACCCGGGTTCGAACCCAGGTAACTTAGCTCCACAGTATCTGTTCTTACTACCAGGACATGGGATCTCCCTTAAACATTTACAATGATTGACTTCTAGCCTAAAGGAATCTTAGAGATTAATTCATCCCTATTACGTCTCCGTCACAGACTCATTCTTACACACCAGCTTCACAGCCTTTATGACTCAAACTTGTGCTCAGTAACATTATGGATGGCTCCTTGTGCCCGTTCAGCATCTCTGACTGCCTAGACCCCACGCCCCCAAGGGTGCTCTGTCTGCACAGGCCGGGCACGAGCTGCTCACTTCCTGTTTGATGTGTGTTCACAGCTCCTTGAAGGCAGGGCAGCAGCATCGGAATGTTCCATCAAGGAGAAGTCTGTTCGGGCACCTCTGCTTTCTTTGGGAACACCTGTCTCAGGTGACTCCCAGCTCAGATTTGGCCCCGCTGCTTTTCTGCATGAAGAAGCAGCGGTTGAATCTTGAGCCACACTTGGCCTGTGATAGGAAACAGAATTTGTGGTGTCATGCTACACCATCCCTGTTGACCCAGAGATACCACCAGGGCAGTTTCCCAGGCTTTCCAAGGAAGAACGGGAAGGCGTGTGTGTGTGAGTGTGTGTGTGTGAGTGTGTGTGTGTGTGTGAGAGAGAGAGAGAGAGAGAGAGAACATGTCAGAGGTTAGGTAGACAGTAAGGTGCTCAGGACTTCTGGGACCCTTGGCCTAGTTAGTCTTAGACCCTACTCGCTATTTACCTTTGCGTGCCACAGGGGTCCCGCACAGTCATTGCCAGGCACCCCCAAGTCCACGTGTGCACTGCAGATCTTTACTTGTGTATAGTTACTCTTCAAATGTATGTAGAGGTCATCAAATCAAGGAAAAGCTCACCTGGCCGGTGTGGCTCAGTGGTTGAGCGTCAACTTATGAACCTGGAGATCACGGTTCAGTTCCGGTCAGGGCACATGTCTGCGTTATGGGCTCCATCCCCAGTGTGGGGTGTGCAGGAGGCAGCTGATCAATGATTCTCTCTCATCATTTATGTTTCTCTCTCTCTCTCTTTCCCTTCTTCTCTGAAATCAATAAAAATATATTTTTTAAAAAAGAAAACTATGTACATAAAAAAGGGAAAAGCTCTCCTGAATTTGTGTTAAGCTATTGTAAGCACAACTACCACCTGCTGAGAAGCACATCCAGTTCAAGCCCCTCAGATGCAGAGGAGGACACTGAGGCTTGGGGGGAAGGGGAGCGATTGGCCTCCATCGCAGCGGGGAACGGTGGCGTGGGAGCTGGCTCGTTCGCATGTGCCATGACCTTATGCTGTGTCCCCCCGGGGCGGTCACAGAGGGAGCGATTGGCACGTATTTTGACAATTAATACTATGCTGTACTTTCTAATATTGTCTAATAGGGTGATTTATTATAATAACGTTTACCAGTATTTATAATGCTTCTCCTGAGAATCAATTAATTGATTGATTACTGTATTGCTTGCCCTGCCCCCGTAAGTAAAATCCTGTATTCCGACCTGGAAGCCTGAAGCATGGTAAAATTGGGTAGCTTGCTTATGTCTGGAACAGCGCTGGCCCTAAAACTCCCGAGTTTTTATCTCTGGTCCAGGTTCTGTTAAGCAGCCTGAACTGTGAGGATTTCAGTTGTTTACATCTCAGTCCTCTATAGCATTTGCTCTCAGCTGGGTGCAACGGAACTTTTTTAATCCTCACCCGAGGATATGTTTATTTTATTTTTCACATAATAACTATTTAACTTTTGGGCAAGTTACCTAACTTCTAAATCTTGGTTTACTGGAATTCATAGCAGAGGACTAAAATGAGAAAATATAATGGGAACTCAATAAATGATCATCTCATTTTTCTTAAGTGACATTTTAAAAAACTGAGATTATAAATGAGGGTATTTGGTGTTTTTAAAGCTTTTCACGAAAGTGTAAGAGCCCAGGACTGTAGAATTGGAAGGTCCCTTAATAGTTTTAGATCCAGTGAAGGACTCCCTCTCACACGCTTATTCTTTCAACTAAGATCCGCTTCCTTCTGGGCCTGCCCTCCTTCGTGTGATAGGCATTCTAGGGTTTGAGACAGTGTTGGGCCCCGACTCCAAAATTATCTTTTCCAGACTAACTCTCCTTAGCTATTCCTCATAAGATGAATCGTTTTCTCTTTCCCGTCGTGGTCTCCCTTCCAGATAGAGACAGACTTGAGCTGAACACGGATGCAGCTGTAATCTGCGAGCATCTCCCCAGGCAGCTGTCTTCTTTCTAGCTGAGCTCTTTTGGGAATCAGGTCGCCCAGTCAGACAGCACATGCAGCTTGTTCTCTGTGTTTTCCCACTTTCTAGATGAAAAATAAATACATAGCAGTTGAACACGGCAGATTGAACACACATTTTAACATCCATTCCCTCCTGTGATATCATTAAAATGATAATAAAGGGAGAAAAGATATCGGCAAAGAGCAATTGATGGCATGTTAAAGGCAAAAAGCACATGTGATGAACTCAGTGGGCCAGAGGAACCGAAAGGGCCTGCTGGGGAGAAACTAAGAAGAGAGAGGATTTGTAACGCGGAACCTGGAATAGCGCCAATACTGAAAACAGGAAGATCAGTTGAAAGTCTGTGAAAGGCAATTAGATGCCTGCAGTCCCTCCCCATCCTCTCAGGGGGCAGGGCTTCCAGTCTTAGGTGTTGAAACGGAGGCACACGAAGCACAGAAGACGGGATGGCCTGGAGCAGAACTGACATTCAGGCCCGAGACTGAGTCCTAAGCAGTGAAGGCAGGACCACCCTCACCAGTTGCCAGGGTACCTGCACGCAGTCACTCCCCGCACAAGACGGGTCCCCCTTTGAGAGCCAGCCCCAGGGAGAGCGCTAACGACGCCTGCTTCTAGGGTGTCCAGTGAACATGGCCGGTCTTCATCTGTCACCCCAATGTGACGCCCACGCTTGACAAGCCTAGGCCACCCACGCACACTCACACTCACACACTCACACTCACACTCACACACTCACACTCAGCTTTCAAACAGCTTCTAAAAGTATGAGCAGTTGCCCAACATCACCAGACATTGAGAGCAAGTGCCTCTCAGAACAGACAGGCCAGAACGATGGGGGACGAAAACGTCGAAGAAACCGTGGAAGCAGGGAGGAAGAGGAGACAGTTCACTCTGGGACCTTGAGCGGTTAGAGAAATATTACATCATGAACTATGGACAACATATTCTTAAAAAGGAAAAGGAACCTTCAGGGAACCTCTTGGAGGTTGAAAATGCGACGGCCAGTGTTTGGTTCAGAAGCGTGTGAGTCACAGTTTGCAGGACACCCTGCTTAGAGCCTCCGCCAGAGCGGCCACCGGCGAGGGGGTAACGGAGGGGCACACCAGGGGGACATATGGGCTCCAGCGGAATCCTTGGGTGGAGGTGACACAGGTGAGGTGAGGTGAGGTCGGGTGAGAGCCAGGAAGCTGGTGAAGGGGAGGGGATGGGTGCTGAAGAGCAGCAGTGCTGCGTGGGACTGTGGGTGCGGTGGGGCTGTTCACGGCGCCTGTGAAGGCGTCCTCTGGGCAGGTCGCTGGCAAGCACTTTAGAACTCCCTGGGCTGTGGACGCCGCCCTGAGGGTTCGCCCTGTGGCTGAGCGCCTGGGCCACACAGCTCCCCCCAGCGCTGCAGCCAGGCTCGGTCCCCTCAGAGGCGCTCTGGGCTCCGCGTGGTCTACCACAGGCTGGTTCGTACCCAAGGACGCCCCAGCTTTTGCACCCACCGCGCCTCCTCTGTCCTTGATCCCCACATGTGCCCCTATTCACGTTTGGTCCCTTCCTGTCACTGAGTCCTTACTCTTGAGGAGCCTGCTGCTAGGGGCGTCGGGGTTCTTGGCCAGTGTCAGGGAAGTCAGGTCTTGGGGTTGGGGGAGTCGGGAGGGGTGCGGTGGAGACACATGTGAGTGAAGCAGCCGCGTGAAGCCCTCAGGCTCGCGTGTTTGATGAGCTTGTGAGATGAGCTGTTGACATGTCCATAACTGAGGGCACTGAGTGGGGACTCGCTGGTCTCCATGATGAGCCGTGGCCGTCACGAGGTGGATGCCTTCGCTGCCATCCCGACGGGGGCGGGGGCAGCATGGAAGGGCATGTTGGGTCTTTGTATTTGCCTTCCTCCCTATCTCTCTGTGTTTTACTTCGCCCGCAGATTGGGGACCACAAATTCAGCGCTCACCGAATCGTCTTAGCAGCCTCCATCCCGTACTTCCACGCGATGTTCACCAATGACATGATGGAGTGCAAGCAGGATGAGATTGTGATGCAGGGAATGGACCCCAGGTACTGCGCTCCTCCGCCAGGCCTCCCAGCTGCTTCCTTGCGTAGTTCTGCCGGTGCTGGTGCCTGGTCCCCCTGGGGCCCGCGGCAGGACATGGCGTCTCCAGCACCGCCCAGTGCACGCTCGCTCTGTGCGTGGCGATCATTGAACAAGTTAGGCCCTCGCCTGTGGCCTGAGACGGTGAAAGTGGGCCTCTGTGTTGTGCTCTGTGAGAGTGCACATTTAATAGGCAGTAGAGTCCAAGATATATTTTTTGTCTGGGACGGGTACAAAGGTGGGTTTGTAATTCTCTGCACTTCTCTGTGCCAGCCGTGTGAGCTGGCAAACTTTTCAAGAGTCCGTCCTCGGTCTGCAGCACTTCCTGCAGTGACGGGACTGTCCTGCTGTCCTCGCCGGACGGGAGCCACGTGAGCACTCGAAGTGGGACTAGTGGGACGGGAGAACTGAATTCTAAATTGTATTTCATTTCAGTTCGTTTAAAAGTAATTTTAAGCCGAGACCGGTTTGGCTCAGTGGATAGAGTGTTGGCCTGCGGACTGAGAGGTCCCGGGTTCGATTCCGGTCAAAGGCATGTACCTGGGTTGCGGGCACATCCCCAGTGGGGGATGTGCAGGAGGCAGCTGATCGATGGTTCTCTCTCATCGATGTTTCTAACTCTCTATCTCTCTCCCTTCCTCTCTGTAAAAAATCAATAAAATATATTTAAAAAAAAAAAAGTAATTTTAAATACCTGCGTGTAGCTGGTATTATTTGGAGCAACAGGTCAGGAAGGTGGCAGAGATCGTAGCTATTTGATGGATGAGAATACTGAAGCCCGAGGATGTCAGGCTCAAACGCGGCCCCACCCAAACATCTCCATCCAAGAGGCCGCATAGCATAGCGGGGAGAAGTTCTCCCCTAGAGGAACCTGGGGCAGGCGCAGTCCATAACCCCGAGACCACATCCCTCAGGGGCTTATTTGAAGTTGTCCTCACATCTGGAGTCACTTAGCACTGGACACGCTTCATGGAAATACTCCCGGGTTTCTGTATAAAGACTTTATATAAACACTAGAGGCCCAGTGCACGAATTCGTGCACCAGTGGGGTCCCTCGGCCTGGCCTGCGGGATGGGGCCGAAACTGGCTCTCCGACACCCCCTGAGGGGTCCTGGATTGCGAGAGGGTGCAGGCCAGGCCAAGGGACCCCACCCGTGCATGATCCGGGCTGGGGAGAGATGCTGGAGGTTGGCCAGTGGGGAGGGACTGCAGGAGGGCTCCAGGATGTGTCCACCGGTCTCAGTCCCGATCAACCGGACCCCAGCAGCAAGCTAAGCTAACTTACCGGTCAGAGCATCTGCTCCCTGGTGGTCAGTGCACATCATAGTGAACGGTTGAACAGCCTTAGCATATAATTAGCATATTGCATTTTGATTGGTCGAGCAGACAACTGGACACTTAGCATATTAGGCTTTTCTTATATAGGATTATATAGGATGTTCCATAGTATGCCTTTTGGGCCTTGAAAGGAAAAAGGCATGTTTATGTCACTAAAAAGATTTGCTGCAGATCTATGAATTGAGGCTGTGTATGTAACCTGGGCTGTATCCCGGGATGCCCTGCACACCTACTGTGTGCCTGTCATTGACCTGGGGTTTGGGGATGCAGCAGCAGGCACGACGCACAAGGTGGCACAGGGTGAGGACATTCTCGTGGGAAGAGGCAATAAATGACCAGTGACTCTAACACTGACTAGTGGCCAGCCACTTGCTGCCTCACCTCACGATGTGAAAATACAAGGGAGAGGGCCTGCGAACCTGTGGCGCCCTCTGCCGATTGAGGGTATCGGCCCCAGGGCACAGAGAGGGTTTATAACCACTCATGCAGACGGCTCAGGCCGGGGACTTGGAGGAAGCACACAGAAGAGGGTCTCAGGGCAGTTGTACTCTCTTCTCCGAGGTCTGTGTCTGCAGGAGCCGTGCTAATCGCCAAGCACAGTGCGGGCGCTTCTTTCACAGGCCGCCAAGAGCCTGTGTGTGTGCGAGGCTGCCTGAGGGGTGACACGGAAGCACCTCTTCTGCACTGACTCCAGTGGAGGAATCTGATGATAGACAGGTACACGCATGAGCTGGTGATAGGTACACGCGTGAACTGGTGATAGGTACACGTGTGAGCTGGTGATAGGCAGGTACATGTGTGAGCTGGTGATAAACAGGTATATGTGTGAGCTGGTGTTAGACAGGTACATGTGTGAGCTGGTGATAGGTACATGCGTGAGCTGGTGATAGGTACATGTGTGAGCTGGTGATAGACCAGTACACGTGTGAGCTGGTGTTAAACAGGTACACGTGTGAGCTGGTGATAGGGACATGCGTGAGCTGGTGATAGACAGGTACACGTGTGATCTGGTGATAGGTACACGTGTGAGCTGGTGATAGACAGGTACACGTGTGAGCTGGTGATAGACCGGTACATGTGTGAGCTGGTGTTAAACAGGTACACGTGTGAGCTGGTGATAGGTACACGCATGAACTGGTGATAGGTACACGTGTGAGCTGGTGATAGGTACATGCGTGAGCTGGTGATGGGTACATGTGTGAGCTGGTGATAGACAGGTACATGCGTGAGCTGGCCGGGAAGTGAACGTGATGTCAGGAGAGCAGAGCAGAGCCAAGGCAAGTGCATGAGGAGGGGCCTGTGTATTCAGGGAGGCCAGGAAGGTCTCTGTGACGAGGTGGCCGTTGAGCCCAGAGCTTCATTGAAGTGAGGGAGTGACCCACCTGGGGGACGAGCCTTCCAAAGAGAGGGCGCAGCCATGCAGAGGCCCTGAGTGAGTGAGGGGGACAGAGTGGAAGGGGACAGGTCGTGCAGTGGGGGAGCCAGGCCACATGCAGGCCTAGGGTGGACTTTGGATTTTCTTCTCTGCATCGTGGGAGAGAAGAAAATGTCGGAATTCTCGTTCTGGAAATTTATCCCAAAGAAATAATAGTCCACAACCATGATTTATAATGGCAGTAAGATGGTCGTAGCTGTTACACCTAGTAACAAAGGGAGTGAGCATGCTTACCTTCTGGAATACTGCATAGCAGCCACTAAAAACAAGACGTGAAGGCAGCGTAGCAACATGGAAAGGGCCTCATGAGTCTTAAGTACATTTACACCATTTATGCGAAGAGGGATGAAAGGACGTAGGGAGGTGACACCATGGACCTGCTCAGTAGTGACATGTGGGTGACTGCTTTCTCTTTTTAAACTTTTCTGTAACAAAACTATGTGGGCAACACAGACCAGAAGTAGGACAGTCTGGCTCTGGGGAAGAAGGACCCCACTCAGTAGGCTCTCCAAGGGCAAGGGTGTCATGGCTGCTGGGGTGGGGCCGTCTCCCCAGGCGGAACTGTCCGCCCACTGAGGGCCGAGTCTCGGGGGCGAAGACCCGTCTCTAAAGAGCACCTCTCCTCTTCCCTCTAGCGCCCTGGAGGCTCTCATCAACTTTGCCTACAACGGCCACCTCGCCATCGACCAGCAAAATGTCCAGTCATTGCTGATGGGGGCGAGCTTCCTACAGCTGCAGAGCATCAAAGATGCCTGCTGCACGTTCCTCCAAGAACGGTGAGGGCATGGGCCGGCCTGGGGGGAGCGTGACCTTTTCATTTCCGGAGCCCCTGCCAGTTCGCCGAGTCTTCGGGGCACAGAGTGTGAGGAAGAAGTGAGCCAGGAGGACACTCTGCAGAAACGACCTTTCTTGAAATCAGTACCAGGCGGTGCCAGCCCTTTGGGTTGAACCCCTGAGGAACATGGTTTACGGCGAGCAGACCCTGCCTGCTCTCTCCCTGGGCCTGACATGTTCCTCTTCTCCTGGCCCTCCCTCCCCAAGCTGACCAGCTGCTAATTGAGCCGACCGTTCTCACCGCGCTGACATTCCACAGACACCGCCTCTGTTCAGATGCTTCCCTCCTGGACGTCTCCATCCTGTTTCCCCTTCAGCTCTTTAACAGCCCACCCAGATGCCGCCTCCTGGGCTTTCGGTCCCCTGTGCTCTTTTAGGGGAGGACTGGGCTCACCTCTGTCCTATGCCCAGCACTCGACAGTGCCCTTCTGATGACTGAGCAGTCTCCCCCCCGCCCCCCCAGAAGCGGGCAGAGCTCTTAGTCATAAGGTAAAAGCCGCCTTTTACCCACTGAGGCGTGGACATGAGGGTCAGTGCTGGGCCACACACAGGTAGGCGAGCTGGTACCGAGCACTCCTGTGCCTGGTGCCCTCCGGGGCCTGGTCTGCACCTGACCGCTCTGACCAGCAGGTTCCCGGCCTGAAGACCAGCCTTCCTCCCGCCTCCGCTCTGCCCTCTGAGCCTCCTCCCTCTTAGAGCCGACCTCTCCCTCTCGCCTCCACCAACCCAATTCACTAAGCTCTGTGGCCGGCCCTGCTAGCCACACCGGCCGGTGGCGCTCGTGGGCACGGCTGTGTGCAGCTGGTCTTAGTGACCCGGGCAGCGATGCCCAACATGAGGTGCTCTCCTGGGTGCGGGGTGCGTGGGTTCCTGGTGAGGCAGGTGGAGACCCGCAGTCCCAGAGCTTGGCGGGAGCCTGCCCTGGGTGCCTTCTGGGCAGGCTGGAGGGCTGCAGGTCGGGGCTGGGGCAGACACTGTCTCTCCTACTCGTTTGTAAGCGGCTTAAGGACGCAGCCTGGATTCAGTTTCTGTCCCCAGGAATGTGGAAAATGCTGAGTAGGCACCCTGGGAAGGATGGCCAGCCTCTCGGGACAACAGCTCCACCTAGGGGCTGTGGCGGGCATCGCCGTCACCCTGGATCCAGGCTGTTACAGGGTAGTGTCCCTAAAACATGCTTAGAACAGTTTTAGACCAGAGCCGTTTTTCGTGCCCCAATTATGTCCTTTATAGCTTCTCTAAGCCTCATTTTCCACCTGAAAATGACAGCCCTGACTGCTCTGCAGTGTTAAGATTATGGAGAAAGGACACAGGCCTGGCAAAGCGCTGGGCTCCATGGGGGTAGCTGCCTGGGGCTGTTTCTGGGGGTCTAACTAGTTGGACCCATCGGGCCTTCTTCTGTGTAAACAGAAACATGTAAGGTCCTGATGTTGGAGAGTCACTTCTCGGGGTTTAAGCTCTCATTCTACGCCTTCGGTGCCTTCCTGGCGGCCAGAGGTGCCCACTCAACCAGGAACGTCAGCAGCCGAAGGAAAGCAGACGGGTTTCCAGCACCCGATCTCTTCTCTCTTCCGAGAGCTGCTTCCCACCCAGAGGCACAGCGCACCAGGCCCCGAGCAGAGCCCGAGGGAAAGCCTGCCTTCAGTGTGTATCCACAAGCGCGTCCGAGAGACAGCTGATGTCTCGTTATTTTTGCCATTTTTTTCTTATGCAAAAGGCTTCACCCCAAAAACTGCCTGGGTGTGCGCCAGTTTGCGGAGACGATGATGTGCGCTGTGCTGTACGACGCGGCCAACAGCTTCGTCCACCAGCACTTCGTGGAGGTGTCCGTGTCGGAGGAGTTCCTGGGGCTGCCCCTGGAGGGCGTGCTGGAGCTGGTGTCTCGCGATGAGCTGAACGTCGCGTCGGAGGAGCAGGTCTGTGGCCGGGCAGGCTGCCCGAGCTGGGCGGCTGCGCTTCCTGGTCTTCCCTTCTTGTTTTAACAAAATGAAGATCGTGATATGTACACAGTTGTTTATGGTGGGTTTGTTGTATGATATCATGTGCATGTTTCATGAAAACTTTATACCTTTTATTTTAAATAAATTTTTATTGGTTTCGGAGAGGGGGGAGAGAGAGAGAAAGAGAAACATCAATGATGAGAGAGAATTATTGATTGGCTGCCTCCTGCACATCTCCTACTGGGGATGGAGCCCACAACCCGGGCATGTGCCCGTAGCCAGAATTGAACCCAGGACCCTTCAGTCCGCAGGCCGACCTCTATCCACTGAGCCCAACCAGCCAGGGCCTTCATGTGTTTTAGTGTCTAAACAGCATTCCATTGCTTCCTTATTCTCGGAGGTCTGGGCTGTTTCCCGTCTTCACTGTTAGAACTCACGGAGGGGAACCGGGAATAGCATAGCTCACGTTCTGAAAGCGTCTTTCTCTAAGCGAGAGTCGAGCCTTGGGGCAGTCGCCAGTGGGAAACAGGAAGTCAAGAGGGGTTTGTTTGGTTCAAATGAGAGGAATGATATGTGCAGTTGGACTGCCGGTGGGAATTCTCCAGAAGAGGGAAGATTGACAGTCGGAGAACAGAGAGAGTGATTGCTGGGGTAATGGCCTAGGGCAGGTGGGAAGGGACGCATCTCAGCACGAGGGGCGAGGCTTTGACAGGAGGGCAGGCCTTCAGGGCCCACCCAGACGCCGGGGCAGGCGAGTGGGAAGGGAGATGCTGGTAATTCCGTGCACATTCGCTTTTGATTTGTTCCAGCTCCTGGGAACCTGGACCTTGAGCCAGACCTTAGGAAAGGGGAGCGGGTTGAGATGAAGAGGAGGGCGTTCTAGGCGAAGGGGCCGTGTGGGCGGGGAGCCAGCCTGCCTGGGCGGGGGTGGGGGGAGTAGGTGCAGGAGCGGCAGGAAGGAGGGTGAGCAGGGACTTTGTTTTGATACAGAAATGTTCCACTGACAGATTTCCATTGGGGCAGCCGTTCTCCACCTTCCTGACGCCGCGGCCCTTTAATACGGCTCCTCCTGTTGTGGGGACCCCCAACTTCATTGTTACAGATTGAACATCATTAAAGCACAGTGACTCATCACAAAACAATCTGTAATTATACATGTGTTTTCCGATGGTCTTAGGCGACCCCTGTGAAAGGGTCATTCGATCCCCAAAGGGATCGGGGCCCACAGGTTGAGAACCACTGCCCTAGAGAGTCACGGTGAAAGCCGGGAACAGTCATGGTCACCCAGGCTTGCGTTCCGAGATGGAGCCCCATGGGGGAATAGAGAGAAGACAGTGGCTTCAGGAGACAAGTCTGAACGATGGAACAGCCCAGGGACTGCCCCAGTGCAGGGAGGGCGGGCCTTAGGTTGGGGTGTACGGGTGTGGCCTCTGACTGGGAAGAGTCGCCACCAGAGCGTCCACTCTGTCTCGGCAGGTCTTTGAAGCCGCGTTGGCCTGGGTCAGGTACGACCGGGAGCAGAGGGGGCCCTGCCTGCCCGAGCTGCTGTCCAATATCCGGCTGCCCCTCTGCCGGCCCCAGTTCCTGTCGGACCGAGTGCAGCAGGAAGACCTGGTGCGATGCTGCCACAAGTGCCGGTGAGCAGGGTGGGGCTGCCCAGGGGGTTGCCCAGGGTCCCCTGCGGGTGGAGGTGGGGGGACCAGGCCTGGAAATGGGAGTGTGGACCCCACTGGGAGGATGCCTGCTGTCCTAGCATCTCACACTCATTCCAGGGACCTGGTGGACGAAGCAAAGGACTATCACCTCATGCCAGAACGCCGGCCCCACCTGCCAGCTTTCCGAACGCGGCCTCGCTGCTGCACGTCCATCGCTGGGCTCATCTACGCCGTGGGAGGCCTCAACTCAGCAGGTACCTTGCAGCTCCCCCTCGCAGAGCCCTGCCTTGCACGCGAGGGTAAGGGAGCACCAAACAGCCTCGCCTGCCCTCTGGTTCCTCTCCGTGCGTGCCACCCCTCTGGCCCATCTCCGTTTTATCTAATTGCTCTGCAGTTAAAGTATGTCAGGTGTTGATACCATTGATCAGAATATTGAGCTAAAGAGCCTTTAGAAAGCCTGAGGCCTGGCCCCTTGCCTTCCCAATGGGGAAGCTGAGGCCCACACCTTCCCCCGTGCTCACAGTTGGTTTTGGCCGAGCAGGGACTGGATCGTGGGTCCTGACTCCTGAGCCAGCACTCTCTCTGATACCCGCTGGCCATGGAGGGGCTCAGCCCTCGATAGGACGTAGCCAGAGACCCGGCTCTGACCCCAGGCTGACTGATCCCATTTGGTCAAATGGATCCCTGGGGTTCGACTGCGAGAATGTCACCCAAGAAGGACAGACACGCGGTGTGGGCCACGATCAGCAATCCTGGTCACTCTTACCGCTCAGTGTGACGCACCCGCTTTACAGTCCGGGTGCCAGTGGCAGCTCTCGCATCAGACAGTCGGGGTTTTGGGGAAGCTCCGTGGGCCGCCCTGCCACGCCCAGGCCCCATCGCAGGCCGGAGGGATTTAGTCGGGAGGCAGGACACCTGGGTCCGGGCAGTGCAGTGACAGGGAGTTTGGTCTCCGGTGTGAGGGCCAGGCCTTGCCACGGTGCCAGCGGGTGTGTGTGTGGGGGCGGGGGGGGGGGGGGATCTGGGCAGCTTTGTTTTTAACTGAAAGTTCACGAGGGTGGGCACTAGTCTGTGGCCTCTGAGTTCTCAGCAGTGACCTGTCGTGTGGCAGAGCCGAGTGCCCGGAGCAGGATAAAGGGGGGGGGGGGACGTGTGTGATTTGACCCCCACAAAAGCCTGAGGAAAGGTGAGGCTGGAGTATCACCCGCTGCCGAGCACTTGGCAGGTGACTGACGGATCACACCCCTCACCTCAGGCCGCTCTGCCCTCGAGAGCGCCTTCCCCGTGAGCAGAGGACAGGACCCCAGGCCACTTGCCCAGGGTCCCGGCTAGCGAGGGAACGTGGACGCTGGAGCCCGCACCCTCCCCGGGGCCTGCCTCCTGCTTGGGGAACTCTGCATCCACCTGCCTTCACTGGGCCTGTAAGCAGACGGAGCACCCATTCCCTTCCTCGGAAGTAACGCCTCCCGTCCGATTCTGATTCCCTTCGAGGCTGAGCCACGTTACACGCCCCAGTAACCAGTACCCAGCAGCTGTGATGCAAACGAGGGGGGTCATGTGTTTAATGTGAGTAGCAAATTTTTATGCAGGTGATTCCCTGAACGTGGTGGAAGTGTTCGACCCCCTCGCCAATCGCTGGGAGAAGTGCCATCCCATGACGACCGCCCGCAGCCGCGTCGGCGTGGCTGTGGTGAACGGGCTGCTCTACGCCATCGGGGGCTACGACGGCCAGCTGCGGCTGAGCACCGTGGAGGTCTACAACCCAGAGACGGACACGTGGGCCCGGGCGGCGAGCATGAACAGCAAGAGAAGGTACCCGCAGGCACGCACGCGGCATCGGGGTGCCGTGCTGGGCGAGCAGGGGCACGTGGCAGCATGCACCGCGAGCGCAGGCGGTCACTTCCCGCAGCCAGGCCAGCCCGCGGCTCCTCCAGTGGGAGCGGCCCGTCTGCCTCGTCCCCGGTCCTCCGAGGGTCTCGGGGGGAGGAGGCACCGACAGGCGGGGGCTGTGTTGTTACTTAGCGCCAGGTGAGGCCTGAGGACCTGCTGTGAAGACGGGCTGGACCGGACGCTGGGAGAGGTCAGGGGAGGGGGCGGAGGGGACTCGCAGGACAAGGAGTGATAAGAGGAAATCCGAGGTGTTGCCTTTTCCCTTTCTTTCCCCAGGGCCCGGCCAGGCCTGTGCTTTCACTGCCCGGGGAGCATGTGAACACAGCCATGCTGTCCACCTCAGGGCCACCCCAGGCACGAGTGCGGAGGGCTGGGGAGGTAGACAAGCTCGCCGTCTCTCACATCCTCCGCCGCCCGCCCGCCCACCTTTCCTGCACAAGCAGCGGGACTCAGGCAGCCAGATAGTGCCGTCTCCCCTCCCGTGCCGAGGTGCCGGGCGCACCCTTCCTGCCATCCATCCGCGTGGAGTGTTTGCGGCGGGTGGGGTGGAGCTGGACACTTCTTCCCTCTCCTGCCCTCGGTGAGGCCACACGGGACCAGGGGTTTCAGATGGAACCCGATGCTTCTTCAGAGCCGAGAGGAGAGGAAAGCAGTCCCAGGCCCCACTGCTTCGCCGACCGCACACGTGTCACTTTTACATGCTGAGCTCCCTGACCTGCACCCGATTTGGGGGGCAAGTTACACGAATGCTTTTCTGAAAGCGGCAGTTTAAAAGCCTGGACCGGTTTCTCTTTAAGGGCCTAAGGCTTTGCCTCCCAGGCCGCTTTGTCCGGCCATGCCTGGGTTCTCTACTTGTAAGACGTGACCACGCCAAGATCACGTGGCTGCATGTGTGTGGGGGAGAAGGGTCAGCACGAAGTCCTTTGCCACATGAAAGTGTCACGCCACGATGCACAGGTCGCACCTCCATCGGGGTCTGTGTCAGCCGTGGCCTCGAGCCAGAGGACCTGCCTCTGTACCAGTGAGACCCGATGCACAAAGGGCCACAGCAGGTTCCTGGGAGAAAAGCTGTGTCCGCAAGGCCGCCCCCCAGGCAGTGAGCAAGCTAATGCCGTGGTGTTCTCACCATTGCCACCTCCGGCTCTGGCAGCCGTGGGTCCTGGGCAGCTCTGGGGCCTCGAGTGACTCCGCTCGGTGTCCCGGCCGTGGCTGCCTTTTTGCTTCGACTGCAGTCACTTCTCCGGTGTCTGTCGGCACCGAGCTGCCTCCCAGCTTTCAGGCCACGGGTTGGAGAGTATCTGGGAGGGAGGGGCCTGGGGTGCATTTCCACGCTGCGAGTGCCGTTATTAGCAGTGGACCCAGCTCCGTGCACCCCTTTCAGTCACAGGCTGCCTTTACGTGTCCTCGGTCGCTTCCCTGCTGACACCCCCCTCGGCCCCCTGTCCTGCCAATGGTGACAAGCTGCTTCCTGCCGCCATTCCTTCCCTCCCCCAGCCGTGCAGGCTGCTTCCGGAGCCTTCTCTCACCGACCAGCCAGCATTTCCCTGATCTCCTCATTCTCGTCTTTACCGCTGAGCTGGTAGTTCATCTCACTGGTGTGGCTCCTCCATTTCTCATATTTGTGTTGAACTTCCGTGTGGTGACTTGTGTCCCCTCTAAACAGACAGTGGCAGGTCCAGTGGGTGTGAGACCTTCCCACATCCCTGCCCAAGGCAAGTCCTCTTCCCATTCAGGCCTCTTCCCAACCGGTCCAGGCTCAGGGGCCTCATGTGGACGCTCTGATGTGCTGTGCAGTGGAGCCTGGTATTTAACGTTCCTGTTAGATGCCAGGATCTACCGAGAATCTCCTCCAGCTTCGGGTGAACACGGGAGTCGGCAGCTAGGCATTTGTCGCTTACCGAGGCTCCATGTGGAGCAGATTGCATGGTTACACCAGGTCCTGGGGTCCTGGGGTCCTTGGTGCTGGCAGAGCCGGCCCTGCGAACAGCACGGAGGAGGCGTGTCTCACTCATGGCAGCTGCTTCCGGGGGGGGGGGGGGGGGGGGGGCGGGGCGGGACAGAACCGCATAGGGCACCTGACACCTGTCCTGATGCGCAGCTGCAGGAGCTGTTCCCTCTCCCACTGCAGCAGGTCAGGGCCCTGCAGGGCCGTGTGTGCACTGAAAACACGCTTGTCGAACCTGACAGCGAGTTGAATGGGAGGATCATGGTAACACCAAACACGCCAAGGCCTGTATGTATAGGCACCTCACACAACACTGTCGGGCTCCCTGAGGAAGCGTGAGGCCGGAGAGGCATTCTTGCTGAGGGATCGGGTGGCTTTTGAGGAGGAGAGCAAGGAATCGGACCAGGACCTTACAGGCCAGTCAGAGCAGGAGCACAGCCAGCGGCAGGAGGGGCATGTGAGACGATCAGGCCTGCGGAGTGAGGAGGGCAGGAAACCGCAGTCGGGATGAGAGGGGGGAGCCCAGGGCAGCATCCTCCCTCAGCTCCCAGCTTGACTTGCCCTGTCCTGGGTTTAGGGTGCTCTCGAGGAGGGTTGGTGGTTGGGTTTATTTATGTCTGGGGCGCAGGAAGGCGGCCGGACGCTGAGGCCCCCTGGGCTGACTGTCTTTCAGCGCCATGGGGACGGTCGTGCTGGACGGGCAGATCTACGTCTGTGGGGGCTACGACGGCAACTCTTCCCTCAACTCTGTGGAGACCTACTCACCTGAGACGGACAAGTAAGGACCCGCCCCGGCACCTGGGCTGGCTGAACCTGGGGCAAACGGTTAGAACTGACGTTGAAGTCAGGCTGCTCAGAGCGGAGCTGCCCTGCCTGTAGCCCTGCAGCGCCTGCGGCCTGTAGGCCCTTAGTGACCTCTGCTTAATGAGGGAGGGAGGGAAAAAGACTCTGGAGACAGCCCGCTCAGCCATGACGGTGGAAATGCCGGCGAGGACGAGGGGCGGCAGGCGGCACTCCTGAAGGGGCGGGTGATGCGGGGAATGTCAGGGCGACGTGGTCAGCTGAGCTGGAAACATGGTGTCTATTCACCTCATTCATGTAACTCCGGGCCCATCTTGTGCAATTATCAGCCCCAATTTTTTCATTTCGGTATTTGAATTTTCTCATGTTATGTAACAACATCAGCATGTTAGTAGGATGGATTCATCGGTGCTTTTAAGCCAGCGGTTCTCAACCTGTGGGTCGCGACCCCTTTGGGGATCGAACGACCTTTTCACAGGGGTCACCTAAGACCATCGGAAAACACATATATAATTACATATTGTTTTTGTGATTAATCGCCATGCTTTAATTATGTTCCATTTGTAACAATGAAATTGGGGGTCACCACAACATGAGGAACTGTATTAAAGGGTCGCGGCATTGGGAAGGTTGAGAACCACTGTTTTAAGCCAGTACCTCATTCATTTAATCTGTTACATATCGGAGCAAGCAGGGCATCTAAGCCTGTTACGTAGCACCGTCTGCTGGGTCCACCGTCGTCCACTCGGGGCCTTGGCTGCCGTCCTGGGCGCAGCGTGGGGAAGGCCTTCCGCCCCTCGGGCGGGGGAGAGGCGGGCCGAGCCATGGCGGGTCTGGGGGTGCTCAGGAGACAGGGAGGCGGCAGGAAGGGGTCTCAGGGGTTAGCCTGCCTGTGGGGCAGGGCAAGGAGGCGGCGAGGAGACCAGGACCACGTGGGGAGGAGCCACACCAGGCAGCGTGGACTCTGCCTCGAGGAAGCAGCGGGAGCCCCTGGGCGTGCTGCTCAGGGTCCCAGGGGGAGAGGCCTGCGGCCAGGCCCCTGTAAGGGGGCTGCTGCGGTGGTTGGGGGGGAGAGGGGGGCTCGGATCCAGGGGGTGGGGACAAGCAGGCCCAGGAGCAAACCAGCCGGGAATTGGTTGCCACAGGAACAGGGATGCGGGAGAAGAGGCCATAAAGCTGCTGTTCCCCAGGACAGCCACTAGGGGGCGGCGCCCATGGGAAAGACCTGGGAGTGCGGGAGGAGCGGCCTTGGGGGAGGCTGGTCCGGGGCCTGATACTGTGAGCGCCTCAAGGGTCAGAGACAGCTGGGGGCTCAGGCCGGGGGCGGCCTCGCGGGGAAGGTGGGCGCCGGGGCGGGGGGAGCACAGCGCAGAGCCCGAGCCTTCTAAGGCCCCTGGGGGGCAGGGGCCCCGATCTCACAGCACCCCTCCTGCTTTGGCTCTTCCTGAAGGTGGACAGTGGTGACCCCGATGAGCTCCAGTCGCAGTGCTGCCGGGGTCACGGTCTTCGAGGGCAGGATATACGTGTCCGGCGGCCACGACGGCCTGCAGATCTTCAACAGCGTGAGTCTGGGCTCCTGGGCTGGGCCCTTGCTCCATCCTTGAGAGCGACTGGGAAAGGCAGTTCCCTGGGAACAGACTAGCCTTCCCGCTGCCGGAGAGGCGTCGCCTAGTGGGGTTTCGGGCCACCCACGGCCGCCCTCACGTCCTGAGCACGGGAGGCAGAGTGCGCCCCCTTCAGTCTCCGTGGAGACCCACATGCGACTGCTGAGAGCGCTGCCCCAAGGAGGTGGGCTACAGGCAGCGCGGCCTTGCAGGCAGCTGTGTGCTTCGGCCCAATTTGTTGGAAATAAAACCTCAGCAGCCGTTCGCTGGTGGTTGGTTCCGAGGGCCCCTCAGTGCCGGCCGGGTTCTGGGGACCCGCTGCATCCGCTGTCACTCCCCGCAGAGCAGCCCTAAATGCAGACGGAAGGTCGGTCTGGGCCAGTGATGGCGAACCTTGTGAGCTCGGCGTGTCAGCATTTTGAAAAACCCTAACTTCACTCTGGTGCCGTGTCACATACAGAATTTTTTTGATATTTGCAACCATAGTAAAACAAAGACTTATATTTTTGACATTTATTTTATATATTTAAGTGCCATTTAACAGAAAAATCAACCAAAGGAATGAGTTCGCGTGTCACCTCCGACACGCGTGTCATAGGTTCGCCATGACTGGTCTAGGCTCTGCCCCGTCCCTGAAAACCCAGGGGCAGGGGTGCCACTGAGGAGACGGCGTCAGAGCCAGGCACGCGCTGCAGGGCTCTCCGTCCCTGCCCCCCCAAACCCCCCGAGTCTGACGCCACGTGGGCCTCGGCTGACCGCCGTGCCGCTCTCCCTGCTGCAGGTGGAGCACTACAACCACCACACGGCCACCTGGCACCCCGTGGCCGGCATGCTCAACAAGCGCTGCCGGCACGGGGCCGCCTCCCTGGGGAGCAAGATGTTCGTCTGCGGCGGCTACGACGGCTCCGGCTTCCTCAGCAGCGCCGAGGTGTACAGCGCCGCGGCCGACCAGTGGTGCCTCCTCGTCCCCATGCTCACGCGCCGCAGCCGCGTCTCCCTGGTGGCCAGCTGCGGGCGCCTCTACGCCGTGGGGGGCTATGACGGACAGTCGAACCTCAGCTCCGTGGAGATGTTCGACCCGGAGACGGGCTGCTGGGCCTTCACGGCCCCCATGGCGTGCCACGAGGGCGGGGTCGGGGTGGGCTGCATTCCTGTCCTCGCTGTCTAAGGCACAGGGGGGCGTGGTGGGGTCGGGGACAGGTACCAGCGTGGGCACTTCCTTCCAGGGGGGCATCCCGCCGGAGAGGGGGACCAGCAGGCTCAGGGGAGCCGAGGGGCGGTTCCCGGGTGCGCAGTCCTCCCTCGCGTGCCGCCCTTGTGCCCTCCAAGCCCAGGGCACCAAGACACACAGCCTGGCAGGTGCCTCTGGGCCTCACAGCTGGTGCCAGCGGCTGCTTGTGGTCACACGCCCAGGCCCGTCCAAGCCCAGCTCCGAGCCACCCTGGCTGGAGGCTCCATCTGACACTCGCCTGCTGTTCTCCAGCCACAGAGCGGCCAGTCTGACGGGCAGCCGCAGTGACCACGCCTTGGAAGCGGGTGTGGCTGGGAGAGGACGACACCTGTGGAGACGCCGCGTAGGCCGGGGGCTCGCGCCAGGCACCTCCTTCCATCCGGGGCAGAGGCCTTGTCCTGCTCCCGGGAGAGCAGGGTGCACAGAAGCTCTCCTGTCTGCTGTTGGGGTCTCAGTGAGGTCTCTTTCATCTTATTCGGGAGAAACAGAAGGAAAAAAAGATACTTGAAAGAAGCTGAAGGAAATTTAAAGAAACACTTGAAAGAAACTGGAAAGAAAAATACCTTTTTTTTAAGTAAACATTTTTTGCAAGAAGAAAATGTTAAAAAAAAAAAAGAGACACTAAAAGGAAATCGTGTTTAAACAGAAAACCACCCACCATGTAGAGGGTGGTGCCCGCTCCCACATCTGGGCCCGGTCCTGAGCCTCGCACAGCACGGGGGTTCCCTCTGGCCCCGCGTGTTGAATCCGCGCACGACGGGCCCTGCAGCAAGGTGCTCCTCGGTCGTCTTCACACCCATCGTCAGAGGACTCTTCCTCGCAGGCTTAGTGAGTCGGCTGACCTGCCGCAGCTCCTGCAGGGGGAGCGCCCAGCTGGTTGCTGGAGGCTCCCGGTGCCCCTGTGGTCGCCCACGGCCACCCTGGCTCACTCGCACTCCCCTCCCCACCTTTCATTCCTTCCGTATTCGACCAGCAGGAAGCAGTCGGTCTGGCCAGACTCTCGCTGCCCGTCTGTCGTTCTTGCTAGAGGCTGGTGGTGAAGCCTGTGGGGCTCTGCCTGCCTCTGGAGCCGGCCGAGGACTCGGTCTGGTGGCCTTGCCCGCCCTGCCCGTCCGCTGCTGCTGCGCCCTCGGCAGCCTGACCCGCAGAGGACCTCGACTTGCACGCAGAGCCGGCTTTCCCAAGTGAAGAGTCAAGGCCGGAGGACTCCTGCCGCTGCAAAGAACAAGCTTTATAGTCCTTCCCCCGATTGAGCAAAGGGCTCTGGAGGACACTGCTCCCTCCCTCCTCCCTGATGGGACCTCAGGGGCACACAGGAGGCCCCTGGGTCACCAGCGCGGGGCAGGGGGCCGTCCTTCAGCTGCTGCCGCCAGAGCTGGTGTTCTGCCTGCTGCCAGTATTGAGTGCAGGACGGGCCTCGGGTCCCCGGAGGCTGGGAGCCTGGCGGGGAGCAGTGTGGGGCCGGAGTCGTCTTCCGCCCGCGAGGTTCGCAGGGTGAGCCGTCGCCAGGTGTCCGGAGGGAATACCCTGTGCCTGCCACTTGGGCGCTGGGCCTCTGGGACAAGCACTTGAACATGATTTTTGAACGACAACAATCGATAAGGCTGAGCTGAGCCCTGGAGCAGCTCTGACATTCCCCGCCCTCTCATTGGCCCTGAGGTGGCCGCGGGGAGGCGGGTCCGCATTCCTGGTGGAGAGGGGTGTGTGTTGCGTGTCTGATTCTCATCAGCCCCTTCTTCTGTGAACTTGAAGTAGCACTGACAAGCCTGATGGTGACGGCGCTAAGAACCGGTCAGTGGGCCAAGGCGGGGGCCTGGCCGGTCCTTAGGAGGCTGGCCCGGAGGCTGCCACTGGGGGTGGCTCATTTCCCGAGACCTGCTGCCCTTGTAGGGCCTTCCCGCGTCCCTCCCGCCTCCCCGGCAACATTGCACTGCTGACTGAGAGCGCTTCCCGGGAGAGGGAGCCAGGCCTGGACCCGGCTCAGCACAGGTGCACACCCACCGGTAGTTTTACACTCTGAGCCCCTCAGTCCAAGGGCATGTTTGCCAGCAGCTGGTCTGCCCTGTGCTGCCGGCGCCGTCTCAGCAGCACGGTGAGAAGAGCCGTCACCTCAGAGACGTGCAGGGGGTTTCCCAGCTGGACAGCTGTGCTCAGGGCCTCGGGGCGCGCCCAGCCCGGAGCAGAGGGCTGTGACCTGTGTCCTGGGCATTTCCCCTGAAAGCACGTGTTTTATCTGCGATCAAAGCCGAGATGGGAGCTGAAGACCAGCCTTTGACTTGGCCACAAAGGTGGGAGCAGGGAGAGATTCTCCTCCTCCCGCCCCCCAATTTACTGTTTCCCAGAAATCTCACTTCCTTTTATTTATAGAGCGCATGTGTTAAGAAACCAAAGAGAAATAAAGAGCACACTTCTATCGCCTTGCCCTCTCCTGATTCATTTTTTAAATACTGTTAGAAGCAAATCATGTTTTTATTGTGATTCATTGAAAAACACAGAACAAAGTAAAAATATGCTGTGAAAATAAGGAAACAGCCAGATACAGCAAAAGCAGTCTTTGGAAAGACGCGTGCATTTTATACGAATGGGTTTTGGTGAAAAACATGCGGAAGACGACCCGGCCTGTTGCCTGCGTGCTCCTGTCCAGGTCACCGCTTCTCTCGGATCGCCCGCCCCTCGCTGCCATCGGACTCCGAGCCCCATGGCCTGTGGCCGCTGACCCCGGGCCAGGCCTCCCGCTCCCGGTTCCCGCTCTAGGCCAGAGGCGCGCGGCTGTGGTGCACGTAGTCAGTGGAACATTCGTTCGTTTATTTTTGTAATTGAATTCGGTGAGGTGACATTGGTTACTAAAGCTGTATGGGTTTCAGGGGGCACTGCATCGTGGGTTTTCCCCACAAGTCGGCGTCGGGTCGGGCTCGCCCTCTGCGTGGTGACAGACGGCAGCGATCCGTGTTCGAGTTTGGAAGGGGATGCCCGTCCCACACACGCCCCACCAGCACGTGCTCACACATGAACACGTGCTGACGCCCACGTGGCCGCCTCGGGGGGGCCCACGGAGAGGGCAGCTGGCATAAAGCCCCTGCGTCAGACGCCTGGCCCGGCTCACCGTCGGGCTAAGGTCACCCCCCCCCCCCCCGCCCAGGTCAAGGCCGCCTGAGGGGACAGTCCCGGCCCCGCACCGGGTGTCGTCTGCGGCCGGGGCCCGGGGTGGGCTTTGGCAGCGAGGTGATGAGCAGACCCCGTGTGCAGATCACGGAAGAGGCAGCAGGTCCTCCTCGGGCTCCGAGCTGTGGGGAAGGTCACGGCCCCGCAGGTAGGGACGCCCTTTCCGGGGAGCGACACCCCATCGCGGGAGCGGCTGCTGCGCTTCGGCTCCCTTCTTGCTGGGCCCTGGCCTCCCCCCTCGCTGGCACGGAGCCCACTCTTCCCCCCGCGGCGCACACGCGGCTTTTACTGCCGCTCAGATAGCGAACATCACACGCCCAGCAGGTGCGAGGGACCTGGACGCTGCTGGCGTCTCTCGGCTCCACGCCCAGTTTCCTGAGAGGTTTTCTCCGTAAGGAGCTCAGGTGCGTCAGTGGCCAAGGCCAAGCCGGGCCGAGGCTGGTGAGAGCCGAGCCGAGGGCGCCAGTCAGGGCGGGGGCGCCGGTCGGGGCAGGGGTGCCGGTCGGGGCCGGGGTGAGGCGGTTGCCCTGGGATGGACGGAGGGAAGCTGCTGAGTGTGTGACACCCTTTGGACGTTGCAGGAGGGCCCAGGAGGCGTCTGATACATAAAGTCGGGGTCGGGAAGAGGTGCTGCCTGGAGCTCTGATGAGGGGGAGGCATAAAGGAACTAAAGGCGGCCGATGACTGCCTCCCTGGGCCTCCAGGGCCCTCACACGCCGCCTCGGCCCGCATCCCGTGTGCTCTCCATCATCCCTGTCCCGACCCCAAGGACCATGATGCGAGTGGAATCGCCCCGGGGCCTGCCTCATGGGTCTCCTCGCCCCGAGTCCAGTTGGCCCAGCTAACACTTCATTCATTCACACAGGCACTCGGTCGTCTGTCAGAAATGCTTTATTGAGCCTCTCCCCTCAGGATGGGCTGACCCCGTGGCAACGCCTGCAGATGTGAAGGGCCTGGGCGGGGGCGGGGGTGCCGGGTCCTGCAGAAGCACTGTCCTCCCAGGAGCACCTGGTCGAGAAGCCCATTCCCCCACCCTCTGTCACCAGCGCCGGCGGGCACAGCTGTGCACACACAGGGTGCGTCCGGCCAGGGCACAGCAGGTCACGCCGGCATGGTCTGAGGCTCCTGAACGCTCTGAGGAGGGAAGGACACCTGCTGGGGGCAAGCCCGGGGCTTCCTGGAGGAGGTGGCCTTGGAGCTGTGCCTTGAAGGGTGAGTAGGAGTTAGACACAGGACGGGCAGGCGTTCGAGCAGAGGGCAGCAGGTGTGCGGAAGCAGAGGCGTGTGGGGGACTGTGCAGCGAAGGGGGTGCTGTGGGCGCCGAGGGAGTGGCCGGTGGGAGGGGAGGTCATGGCTGGGATGCGGGCCTCCCCTCCTTCCCGGCCCTAGAAATTCCTCAGGATGTTGTTGATGATGTCATTCCTGGCGTTGTCATACAAGTTCCTGGCCACAGGGGGCAGCTTGGAGCGGTCGATGTCTGAAGCTGCTTCTTCGGGGGGTGGAGCCTCCGGCTGCTCCTGCGAGTCCTGCAGAAGGGACGCTGTGGTCACCGCCCATCGCCCTCACGGACTGTCACCCCCTTCCTGTCCTGCCTGGGCTCCTCTCCAGGCCGATGAAGAGACTGCGGCCCAGGCAGCCGTTGGTGATGGGGCTGGAGGTGCGCCCAGAGGGCCTGGGCAGGCCTGGGCCTCGGGACTCGCTTCCACCCTCGCTCCCCACTCACCGGCCAGGAGGCTGCACCTCCGTGGTGTCTTCCCCCCAAGTGTGGGCTGGAGAGGAGAGTCAGTTCCCAAGAGCCAGCGTCCTGCCCAGGAGGCAGGTGCGGCTCCCAGCATCCCCGGCCCCAACCACCGGTCTCGCCCCTGCCCTTGTGCCAAATGACCCGCCGTCCTCAGAATCCCTCGAGAACCAGCATGGAGGACGGCTTGATCCTGATCAACCCATTCTCCAGACGACAAAACTGAGGCCCCATGTGCCCAAGCCAGTGGCTCACCTCTTGCTGGCGCTCCGGGCCTGGGCTGCAGTCGACCAACAGGATGCGCTGACGGCTCAACCGGCCCAACCGGCCGAAGGCACTCATGCAGTTCCGCTCCTCCTGTGGGGCAGCGAGCGCAGGGGCTGGAGGCGGATCCGGGCCCAAGACACCCCCCCCCACAGCCCACCCGCCGTGTGCCTCAATCTCCCAAGCCAGAGCTGCAAGCAGAGGATGACCCAGGGCCCCCGCGGGCTAGATGCACCCCCCCCCCCCAGGTGAAGGGCGTGCTCATCGGTGACTTGGATGCCGCCCTCGAATGAGCCGATGAAATGTGTGCGGGCACGAAGGGCTGTCCGACCCTGGGGGTGGGGTTGTGGGAGATCTTGACCTAATTTTATTTTGCTTCTCCACAGTTTGTTAATTTGCTATCAGAAAATGTTGTTTTTCTAATTTCATACCTTAGGTACATTATGGTCCCACTTTATTCTTTTTCTATTTAGTCATTTTTTAAAAAAAATATATTTTTATTGATTTCAAAGAGGAAAGGAGAGAGACAGAAACATCACTGATGAGAGAGAATCATGGATCGGCTGCCTCCTGTTCGCCCCCCAGTGGGGACGGAGCCCACAACCCAGGCACATGCCCTTGACTGGAATCGAACCCGGGACCCTTCAGTCTGCAGGCCGACGCTCTATCCACTGAGCCAAACCAGCCAGGACTATTTAGTCATTTTCAGCATGTTTTGCTTTTATAATAAGGACTAATTTATAGTAAGAAAACACAAAGCAATAGGGAAAACATTTCTAAAAAGGCTCCTACAGTGAAACCTCGCGTGGCCAGGGGAGGTGGGCGGAGATGAACACAGACCCCCGCTCCCCCCCAGGCCAGTGGAGAGGAGAGGACCCCCTGCTCCTGCTGGGGTGGGGGACTCACCCCGCCGTCCCTGAAGGCGCACTGCTGGGGCGCTGGCTGCTGCTGCGGCTCTGAGAGGCACACTGTCTCCTTGATCCTGAACCTGACCAGCGTCCTCAAGGTGGAGTTCTGCAGAAGCAAGAGCAGCTCCCGGTGAGTCCCCCAGCGGACGGAGCCGAGGCACCGCGGTCAGCGCAGCCGGAGGAAGGGCTGAGCCAGGCCCGGGCTTCCCACCACGGCGAGGACCTCAGGCAGCAGCGGTGGGGGGAGCTCTCGGAGACCGTGGGCCCGGAGGGGCCACTTCCCGTCTCTGTGACCAGCAACAAGATACCAGCCTTGCCTTGGCGGTGGCCCAGTGGTTAGAGCGTGCGGGACGCAACCAGTCGATGTGGCTGTCTCGCACCGATGTCTCCCTCCCTCCCTCTCTCCTTCTCTCCCCTCGCACCCCCCACACCCCCGCTCTCTCCCTTCCACTCTCCCTGAAAAAGCAGTGGCAAACCTACCCTCAGGTGAGGATAAACAAACAACAAAAAGAACACCAGCCTTGGGGGGTGGGGGTGACAGTGGGGGGAAGGAGACATAGGAAATACTGTATGTAATACTTTAAACGAAAAAAAATAGAACACCAGCCTTGCACGCTCAGCTCCCTGCCAGGAGAGGCTGTGGGGCGGGAAGGGGACACAAAGCCCCGTGAGGCTCTGGGGAGACCAGGCCTTTTCCTGTCTGCACACTCCTTCCGGCCAGGGCCGGACCCCAGACCTCCCGGCTAGCCCACTGTCCGGCCAGAGATGGCCGCCTTTCTTCCCTTCGGGGGGAGAAACAGCACCACGTTAACCACAGCTCATGTTAACCGGCACGTGGGGCCGTGCCCGGCCGCCTCTCCCGCCGGCGCCCTCGCAGGCTGCCGCGGACACTCACCGATCTGGGTGTTGGGAGGACCTCTAGCAGGCCGAAGAGGGGCTGGCCTTGCCGCCCGGCGTTGAAGAATTGCAAGGCCTGGGCGACAATCCTCGCCTGGGGGCCCTGCCGGTGTTGGGCCTCACAGGCCATCGCCGCCAAGCCCGCCACCAGCATGAGCGCCCTCCAAGCCCCTGCCATGGTCCCTTCTCTGCCCTCGGCCACTTTCCGTCCCTTTTAGGTGCTTCTTGGGCTGCCTTGTGCAAGGGCTGCTGGTGACATCAAGGGCCTCTCCCTTCCTTTGCCAGACACCACTGTTGGCCAATGTTCTGAAATGCCATTGGCCAAGAAGCAAGCAGGTTTGGGCAACGGCTCAGGGCCTCCGAGTGGGCAGGAGACCTGGCTGATCTGGGGCAAGTCCCTTCCCTCTGGGCCTCCGTGTCCCCACCTGTGCCACCAGGAGGCCGGCTCCGGCGGCAGGACCCTGTGCCGTCTCCGCCTGGCGGTTCTGGTTTGACCCCAAAGAACCTTCCAGAACACGGAGTCTGTGCGGCAGCCCCTCGGCCACGTGCACAGAGACGGCCCCTCTGCGGCTGGGCCAGGCTGACATCCACGATGTGACATACCTTTTACAAGTTGGTGTCAGCCTTCAGAAACCTATGCCTGACTCTGAAAAAGCCCCATCTGCTAACCCATGGCTCATCGTCCCTGTGGCTGTGACGGCGGCAGCCTCCCCAGGGAGACCCTCCCTGTCCCCTCCTGGCTGCTCCCCGGACAAGGCTGGGAGGTGGGCCCGGCTTCCTAGCTGCGGGGACGGGCAGGACCTTGTTCTTGTGCTTGATGTCCATTTACTAGGTGTGCCGGTTAGTGATGCGGATTGACCCTTTACCGGTTAATAATGCGGATTGACTATTAACCGGTTAATCAGATTGACCTTAACCGGTTAGTAATGCGGGTTAGTTATCAACCGGTTAATAGTTTGGATTGGCCCTGGCTGGTTTGGCTCAGTGGATACAGCCTCGGCCTGCGGACTGAAGGGTCCTGGGTTCGATTCCAGCCAAGGGCACATGCCCGGGTTGCGGGCTTGATCCCCAGGGTGGGCGTGCAGGAGGCAGCCAATCAATGTTTCTCTCTCATCATTGATGTTTCTCTCTCTATCTCCCTCTCTCTTTCTCTCTGAAATCAATAAAATAAATATTAAAAAAAAAATAATGCAGATTGACCCTTTACCGGTTAATAATGAGGATTGACCTTTTACCAGTTAATGCGGATTTTGTCATCAAAGAACACATGATAATTTCAAGAGAAACATCAAAGGTGCTTTATTCAAAGTAACGTCCATCCCTAGCTACACATCCCCCATCTTTCAGTTAATTTGTGGAGACCGTCCCAATAGAACTTTTCTTGTTTTGAGGCAGACCATTCAGAGACCCAATTTTCCATTTCTTTATATGTTGTGAGGTGCTGCTCAGAAAGTGCGTGTGCCACAGATCGGAACAAGTGCTCATCTGAAGGCGCAAGGTCTGGTGCACACGGCGGGTGGGTTAATACTTCCCAGGCAGGATCTTTTAACGTGTCTTTAACTGGTTTTGAAGTGTGTGAAGGTGGGTCATCATGAAGCAAAATTACTTTGCCGTGTCTTCTGGCCCATTCTGGTGGTTTTATGATCAAAGCGTGGTTCAAATTGATTATTTGTTGTCGGTGGCGATCAGTATTAATGGTTTCACCTGGTTTTAGAAGCTCCTGATACACCACACCTTCCTGATCCCACCAAACGCAGAGCACTGTCTTCTTTCCGAAGTGATTTGGCCTTGCAGGCGGTGTTGATGGTTGACATGGATCAACCCATGATTCTGTGCGTTTGGGATTCTCAAAATAAATCCACTTTTCATCGTGTCACAATTTAATGCAAAAAAGACTTTCTTTCGTGCCGCTGAAGCAACATTTCACTGATGACTTTTCGGTTTTCCATTGTCTTTCGTTCAGTTGATGTGGCACCCGTTTTCCTTCCTTTAAAATCTTTCCCATTGCTTGTAAACGATCGGAAATTGTTTGCTGAGCAACGTTTCATCTTCCTGCAAGTTGTTTTTGAGTTTGACACGCATCTTCATCCAATAATGCTTGTAATGGTTGGTCATCAAATTTTTTCGGTTGACCTGGACATTCTTTGTCTTTCACATCGAAATCATCACTTTTAAAGCGTTTAAACCAGCGTTCACAAGTGTCTTGAGATGGAGCATGTTCACCATAAGCTTCCCGAAGTATACGATCACTTTCAGCAGCACTTTTCTTCAAAATAAAGTAACGAATTAAAACTTCCCGCAAATGCTCTTTTTTTTGGCACGAAATTCGGCATTTTTAAGTGTAAAAATATCTATGATGTTAACACCTTCAGCAAATTTGACATATGAAGTTTTGAAGCTTGCTGTCAATACAGCAAAACAGCATGCATATCATTTCGCATATATATCAACATATGTGTAACTCCATCTATTGAAAAAAATCCTCATTATTAACTGGTATACCTAGAATAAATCTTTTAAAAAATCCTCACCCAGCCCTAGCCAGTTTGGCTCAGTGGATAAAGCGCTGGCCTGCAGACTGAAGGGTCCCAGGTTCGATTCCTGGTCAGGGCACTTGCCTGGGTTGTGGGCTTGATCCCCTGTAGAGGGCGTGCAGGAGGCAGTCAATTATTCTTTCTCATCATCGATGTCTCTCTCTCCCCCTCTCCCTTCCTCTCTGAAATCAATAAAACTATATTAAAAAAAAAAAAAAAAAAAAGAACAGCCCAGGCACAGAGCTGGTAAGGGAAGGTGCCGGGAGGTGCTGGGCTACCAGCACAGGGTGGTGCCCCCTGCCGCTCTGCCCTCCACGGGGCTGTGGGCTGGCTGACCCCCATCTGCTGAGCGGAGTCTGCAGAAAGCGAGCCTGGTGCCTGGGAGGGCGGAGGGCGGAGTGCGAGGGCAGGATTCCTGCGTCCAGCAGGAGGTTTCTCCAAGCCCCGACCTGCATGTGACCACCTGGGGCTAAGTTTGGGGCAGGGGGCAGGTGAGGCTCTGGAGGGTGTTGGAGGGTGCAGGGAGCAGGAAGTGGACATGGGGGCTCCCCCGGCAGGAGGCAAGAGCCCCCCTTCAGGTGAGCGTGGCTGCCACACGGCTCACTGAGCCAGCAGCACCTCCCCAGGCCCCATGGCTTCGGCGCCTCCGTGAGAGCATGGGGAAGCAAAGCCTTCACCAGGGCCGCGGGTTGCGAGGAAGGAAGGTGGCGGCCCTTGGGCAAAACTCTGCCCTGGCTGGGCCTCCGCGTCCCCCTGGCTCTAACGCGTGGTCAGGGCGGGCAGAGAGCCAGGCCTCAGCCCTTGCCCAAGTCGGGTGGAGAAAGGGGCTGTGGCACCACTGCCCATGGGGACACACAACTGATGCTTCGAAACCAGCCGTGTGGACACAAGTTGCCCCACTACCAGGGACGCCTGGCCTCTGAGAGTCCAAGTGGAGCCCAGCCCTGACCCCGCAGGTGTGGCAACCCCCGGGCGCGACCCTCTCCAGCCCTCACTGCGGAGTCCAGGATGCAGATGCCTCAGGGGGGTGCCCGGGCACCCTGAGGCCCATCAGCCCGGGCCCCCCATCCAGCAGCCGGAACCCGGGGCCTGTCCTAGGCAGGAGAGGGATAAACCTCCATTGCTTGCTCCCCATTCACAGACTCCGGTGCAGGCGTGCCCCTCGCCCGAGAATTAAACCTGGTTCTGAACAAAACCACCTTATTTCAAGTCCATCGGGCCTTTGTGCAGCCAGTGGTGCCCCAGGTGGTGGCCCTGGTGCCATCTGCTGGCCAAGTGATGTCCAAGAACTGGGGAGGGGTGGGGGTTTCTTTATTATTATTTAAATACTAGAGGCCTTCCTTCCCTGGCTGCCAGCACAGGCCTCCCTCCAGCACGGGAGGGGGCGGGGGGCCCAGGCTTCCCTCGCAGCCCCCGCTTTGTCCAGAAGGTCATCCAGAAGGACGTATGGTCTAATTAGCATATTACGCTTTTATTATTATAGATGTTTTTATTGATTTGAGAGAGAGAGGGAGGGAGAGGAATAGAGAGAGCCATGGACAGGCCACCATATGCACGCCCCCTGCTGGGGAACGAACCCACACCCGGGCATGTGCCCTGACCAGGAATCAAACCTGTGATCGCTTGGCTCTTGGGTCGACCCCCCACCCCTGAGCCACCCCGGGCGGCGGGCGGTTCTGCTTCTTGGAGGGGCCTCAGGGCGCTGCCCTTCTCCCCAGCTGTGCTGCTGGAGCCTTTTCCAGGGAGGAAGTAACCAATGCTCTCAGGTCCTTGGAGGGAGGGAGTGGGGAGGGTGCTGTGTCACCGAGCAGCTGCTTCTTTGCTGCTCCCCGGGGAGCCTCTCTCTGGGCCGAAGGGAGGGGGCTGCCTCGCCAAGCTCCAGGTGCCCAGCGGGGTGGCTGGGGGGAAGGGACACGATGGGGACGCTTCCACTGGCTCCCAGGGTGCCTGGTGAGACCAGCAGCGCCTCCTGCCCTCCCACCCCTCCCCTCCCTTCCTCTCCTCCCGTCACCTTTCCCTTCTCCCCCTCTCCCTTTCTCTGCCCTGCCAGACCTCTGACCCCCCTCGGCACCCCCACTGAGCCAAACCGGTTTCGGCTCTTTTAACTTTTTAGTTTGACATCATTTCAGGCTTACTTGGGAAAGTTGCAGAATTGTACAAAGAATCCCTTCGTACCCTTTACTCAAGTTCTCCAAATGTTAGCGCTTCACCATATTGGCGTCCTCCTCTCTCTCTATCTACAGACACGTATACACGTATGTAACATTCACTCTCCTCGGCCCCTCTGGCCTCCGTGCTGTTCTGCAGGCTGCCGGGAGCCTTTGAAGTATGGTAGCAATCATCCCAGGTAGAAACTGGAGTTTAACTCTAACCCTGCTGTTTGGCTTAACAATAGAAAAGTCATTTTGATTTTCTGAATTATATAAATCATCCCATTCGATTGAATGCCTTATTGATTGTAATGTGAATATCCCATTGATTGTGATCTTACTGGTTTTAGAAAGCAAATTCCTCTGTACCTGGGAACCTGGACAGCACAATTATCCCAAGACCTGAGGGTTCCAGATAATGTTTCCCTGTCAACTCAGTGGTCCCAAGACCTGAGGGCTCTAGATAATGTGTTTCTGTCAACTCAGTGAACCAAAGACCCCAAACTATAATTAGTCTTTGTGGATAACTAATCGGCTCCATCTCGCTTCTGTAACTGCTTTGTGCAACCAGGGTCCTCATTCCCAACC